AAATCAACTTATAATTTTATTGTTATATGAAAGTTTAATTAAAACCACATAAAAGTTGAGGTTTTTATTATATTATTTACAAAGTGATTCGCTTTAAATTTTCATAAAATGTTAGCTGTAATAAATTACGATGTAATTTCCACTTTAATATTAACTTTTTATTATCATTTTTATCCTAACTGTTTAATTAATATAACTATATTATTAGTACTCTATTTTGTTGAAATGTTACTAGAATAGTTTTATTGAATATTTACATTTGCCTTGAATGATTTTATTAAAACTGATCTTAAATACTTCAGTTGTGTACAAATGATTTATATTAATGTAAAATCAAATGTTTGTTTTTCGTATTTTTTATTAAAACCTGTGCCTCAATCTTTGTAGTAGTCAATATGTGTACATATGTGTGTAAATTTATTAAATTTGTAGAAATTCACCAAGAAATGTGGTACAAATGTTAGGTGTAATATATGTACATTTAAATATGTTTTTATTAACAAAAAAATATTTGTTGTGCTGAATAACATCCCTTAATAAAGCTTTGAGTGAACTGCAAAAATATATGCAAACATGTTAAAATTAAACTGTTAAAGCATGTAACAATAGTTGAAGTTGCTTTTTTGAATTTGTATTTTTTTATAACAGCAAATAAATATTTTAACAATTCTTATTGTTTTATTGAATCAACAGAATAAATAAGAAAATAGTGAATATATCTGCTATACATTCATAATTATCAACTATATAAACTTAAAAGCATTATAACATGTAATTATCTTGAAAAAAATAAAGCAAACGAGAAGGATGATTAAGCAAAAATTTTCAGCGAAAATTCGATTCTGGTTCATATACATGGGTCGATTTTAGAAGAAAAATAGGTAAAAACGCCATAAATAAACATTTTTTTATAAAAGTAAAGCAAGCCACAGATAGTTCTTATCATTTATTAATCAGTTATCCATATCAGTTATCATTTACTGATGAATTAAAAAAAAAATTGTCCTAATGTTCGATTTTAGTTCCCAAAAATAACCCATGTATAGCTACCTGTTGATTATTTTTGGGAACTAAAATCGAACATTAGGACAATTTTTTTTTTAATTCATCAGTAAATGACAACTGATATGGACAATTAATTAATAAAAGATAAGGACTACCTGTGGCTTGCTTTATTTAAAAAAAAATGGTTATTTATGGGGTTTTTACGTATTTTTCTCCTAAAATCGACCCATGTATATGAACCAAAATCGAATGTAAAAGAGAAAAAAAAAGCAACAATTTTTGGCAAAAATAAAGTAAATGACTGCATATTTAGTTTATTTATTATTGAATTAAGCGAAAAATCTGAATAAATGTTTTATTTTTATGCTCATAAATCTTAGAAAGTTTGGTGGATGGGCCTGACATCGTAACTTAACAATGAAACTGGAAATTTTAAAATTTTGTATTAGGAGAGCATAAGTTGCAATGGATCTTATTGGCGCCAAACCATGTTTTGTGGCCTTTTTTCTACCGATATTCATTTAGCCACTTTTGTAGTTAACCAAAACATAAAACTTCCGTTAATATTATAACTAGCAATAAATTTCTACTTCTCCTAAATACAGCAACACTTGCTGTGTGTTGCTATATAAATGTTTTAATGATTGCGTGGTAATTAAAAATAGGAAACAATAAAATTATTTTATACCGTTATTTGTAGTCTATCCAGTAGCAAATGACCCTGGTAATCTTGCGGAAGAGCCAAACATAACCTACATAACCTACGAAAAGTAGCGTTGACTATATAAACAAGTAAAATTTAAAAAGCATATTTGTTGAAAGAATTGATTTTATAAAATAATGGCGACATCAATGCCTATTAATCCAAAACCGTATCTTAATGGCTTAACTGGTAAAGCAATATTAGTGAAGCTCAAGTGGGGACATGAATATAAGGGTTATCTGGTGTCTGTTGATAGTTACATGAATCTTCAATTAGCAAATACTGAAGAATTTATCAGTGGAAGCAGTACAGGAAATTTAGGTGAAGTCCTAATTCGTTGCAACAACATTCTTTACATAAAAGGTATAGAAGAAGATGACGAAGAAGGTGAAATGAGGGACTAATAAATTGTGTTTCCTTAAGACTACTAAGTGCTATCAATCAATAATTGATACTATAATTACTTGCAAATTAATGGTAGGAAGTGATCAATTTTTTTTACAATAAGTACATTTTACATATTAAGTTAATTGAATTTATAATGTGTAGTTTGTATGCATTTCAGAATTAAAGATATGGTAAAAGACTTATTCGAGTTTTAACTAAATGGAAACGAATATTGTTATTTAAAGTAAAATATACTTTAATTTATAAATGCCTTACCTTTTGTAATGTCTATACTGCTGCATTTTGCTTTAAATATCACAAATTTTAATTACACAGCTTAATACAATAATATTCAGAGCATGAGAGTAGTCCAAATTCAAGAACTATACTTTTTACTAAGAAAAGTACATTTTTAATGCATTAGTACAAATAATACTTAATTTTTCTGTACTACCAAATTATTATTAATTCTTTTGTCAGTTACAAGAATTGTTATTAAATTTATAAGGCAATTTTGTAACAACTGTCTACTTACTAAAATTTTTAAGTTGTTGCAGCTGGTAATAGGATAATTGCTTTCTAAATTGTTAAATATCGTTGATAAATCAACTTTTTAAAATTAAAAATTAAATTTAAAATTATTTCCTTATTCCTTAAATATTAAAACGACAGAATATAAAATTCATTACTTTTACATTTAGGCCAGTATTTAACCATATATTTATAAGTTACCTTATTAAAAAATGTACATAAAAGACAACATTATTAAAAAAATTAACATCATAAGAACTCCATATAAAATTATTTAATGTAATCTGATAAGTACATAAATTAACTGATTTATAAATACACCCTTCACGTAATTTTTTTTATACAAGGCTCATCTGCTTTACATTTATTTTTAACTAAAAATATCAAACCTCTGGTCCAGCAGATGACAAAACAGATCTTAAATAACAAAAAAAAAAATATTACAACTCATTGGACTTTCTTGAATCGCCCTGAATACAGTTTTTTTAAGAGCACTCTGCAAAATTGGTGTCAATAAGTAGCACGTTTATTTGAATAGAAATAAAAACTAAATTAAAAGTTTGCATTAAGATCAGATTGCAGAGTGTAGCAAAAGCCTTAAAAGTACATTAATAAATTAAGTGGGGGCCCAAAGCTGGCCAAAAATTAAGTTTTATTTAAGTATTTTTAAAGTAAATATCTACTGATACTTAAGAATTCATTAATGACAATCTTTTCCTTAAGTGGCACCTCATTTGCCCAAAAGCAACATTTTTGTCTTTTTTGGCTCCAATTGTAGACAATTGTCAACGTATATCATATTTCCTTTGCTTTCATTTCAGTCTTCCTTTTATTTATAATTAATTTATAAGTGGCAGCTGAAGATATAGCTCTACTAGGGTTTAAATTTAACGAGGGGTATATTTTTTGATGATAAGCACTTATCGCATACCCACTCAGCATACACTTCTGCTGTCAACAGCTGAAACGCTGCTTCTGTTAGTCCTGTACAACCTCTGAAAATGAAATTTTCTTATTTGAATATCTGAAAATAATATGCTCTACATTTCAATAAAATAAATCGTTTTTTTACCTGTACAAGTGTATAAAAAAAAAGAATAGAGTGCATCTTCTTCATTTAAACTCAATAAATTACGTTTGCAAAAACTCATTTACATCTACTAGACTATTTTCTAGTATATTTCAAAAGAAAAAAAGAATGAAGTGTGTAGACTTGATTTAAAAAATAAGTAAGTCACATTTACAGAAACTCACTTCCTATGAAATTAATACTAGCATTTACTGAGTTATTTCAAAAGAAAAAGAGAATGAAGTGTAGATGTGTTTAAAACAAATAATAAAACACATTTACAAACAATATCTTGTTAAAAAAGTCAATTTTTCTTAATCATACCTGTGAAACCAAAAGTTACATCCACTTTCACAAAGTATAGCTTGATCGTTGTCATGAACTTCTTTATGACATACACCACAAGGATAGATTGGAGGGGCATTGGGATTCTGGGAATTGAATACCTGCAATTAAAATAAATATGAAGTATAGAATCAGTATATTTAATAAATAAACATAAATACCATTGGCTGGTCAGCTGGATACACTTTACCAGCACTGGGAGGCATTGGTTTTGGATACATATTACTCATTGGAGACATCATGAAATTGTTATTCATTGGAGGACCTAAAATTTTTTTAGATAAGGGATTTCATGGTTCTTAAACAATAATAAGATAAATTATTTACCTATGGGACCATTTGATACATTCATGTTCATGTTTCCTGACATAGGCCCATTCATACCTCCATGCATGGGGCCATTCATTGGTCCATTGCTCATTGGTCCATTCATGGAACCTGGTCCTGCCATGGGACTACCTACAGAAACATTCATGGGGCCATTACCAACCCCTGACATGGATGTGGGCATACCTGATCCCATAGGGCTATGCATGGGACCTAAAAAGTGATTTTAAGAGAATATTTTAAAAATCCTCTTCCTGTCTAAACTGGTATTTAATTTTAAATGCAGCATCATTATGCCATTTCTACCTGCTATTGGATGTATAGGACCATTTGAAGTGTTCATCATGTGGGATCCCATTTGATTTCCAATTGAACTATTCATTCTAGGACCATTCATCATCATATTACTTATCATAGGCGAATTTTGATGGGTATTAGGACTATGCATCATGGAAGAACTATTTATATTCATCTGAGAACCTACAAGCATAAATTAATTACATTGGTTTCTGACTTTCATAAAGTTTAATGAAAATTATGTTACCAATTGGCCGACACATTGTCATATGCAGCCCCATATTCATTCCTGGCCCCACTCCCATAGGAGGGCCACTGCGTACACTATTCATTGAGTGAACAGTATTTGGGCAATCATCAAAAGGATTTGATGCAACTATTGTATCTCCATATCCTGACAAAGGAGGTGGTAACAAGTCCTGTACATTCGGGGGGGTCTGTATTGGTGTTTGTACATTTTTTCTTCGTTTCTTCGGATTTGATACACTACTGGACAATTCATTAGACAAATTTGGTACATTTAGGCGGTATGGTGCCAAATGACTCATTTCTTCCTTCAGAAAAAATGCAATGGAAGTTTTATATGTATGCACTATGAAGAATGCCACATAATTTTACACTCCTTTTTTCAACAACCAATTCTCACAATATTACACAAATAAGTCACATAAATAACTTGCCAAACATAAATAACGTTCATTTTATAAAAATACTATATTAAGTCTCCCAAGAAAATAATTAAGTAATATTGTTTACCATCATACGGCAGACATAACTACACCATTTCTAATCTTAACACCAACGTGGTCATGTTGCCAAATTAAATATACTCTGGTTGAATTATATGTTCTATTTAGAAAACTATTGATGGACTTTACATTTATTAAACTAATTTAATGATTTAATTATGAAGAGAATATATTTTCATATGTTCTTATCCTATGAATACGACTTAAAGAACCGTGACTCTATTAATAAGTCCGAATAGGAGGCGTAATATTAAGTACTTTTAGTAACTATTATCACATTTTTTTGTAATAGATAATATCTACAATTATTTAAGCAAATAATTTATTATTCAGCAAACAATAAATAATTGATGTATTAAATTTATGGTAGATCTGACAACGTTGAAATATTTACTCAGTCTGACCAATTCTCAGTAGTGTGCCAAGCTAACAATCCCAAAAGTACCAAGATTTAAAAATTTAAATTTGAATTTAGTTAGAACAAACTTTAACTTAGTTAAAAGTACATAATATTTTCTTATTATTTAATGATACGATTATATAAATAACAATTAACAATTTCAATAAGTAATGCTTTCTACAATCGACAGGTAATTTATTTATTTATAATTTATTACAAGCCTTCTTCAGATACAGGACAACAGTATAAAGTAGTAATTGATAATAAACCCAAAAGTGCGGTAATGCCGCAGACATATGCAAGAACACTGCTGTAAAAGTTAGGAAAATTCTCATCTAAGGAATTTTGCCTAAAATTATTCATTTATTTCTTGATTTATAATAATGTCGATTACTTACAAATGTTGAATTGCAAATACTGCTAACCCAGACGCTAGTTTATCAGTAAATGTAACGATTCCGTACACTGAACCTCCACCAAAACCATTACTTTTAACATACTTTGCTGTTAAACATAAACTAGTTACCAAAGTCGTGGATCCTCCTATTCCTTGAAAGACAAATTATCTCTTTCATTTAGGGCGCATAGCAAAAAGCTCTCTCGAGCTTTAAAAGAAATATATCAAAGCATTCTAAAAGAAATACAGTGTCTACCTATTAGAGTGGCTATGGTGTATATTTCAATTTTAGACGTATTTCTTCCAATTATTCCAATCCATATGCTGGCTGACATTGAAAATAGTGAACCGAAGACGTAAACAATCTTCAAAAGCGGTATTTCAGTGTTTTCGTTATAAAATTAACGTATTTTATAAACATATCCTTACCGTGTCGCTCTGTTTCCGAAAATTTAAAATTATCGCAGTAATAAAAGAAACGACATAAACGACAAATGGTACCGTAGCTACCGTACTTCTAATTCCATCAATTGATGATAGCTCATCTGACTGCCTTTCGTCCAAATATAAAGGAATATAAATTAAGTTTAAGGTTGTATATAATCTGGAAGCCATGTAGCTAAAACAGGGATGGATTTTAAACTTGCGGCGAAAATAGATGCGCGCTTAATTTAATGGCTCGTACAGCAATGAAACTTTATAAATGATGGACGACTTTAAAAAATTCCTTGGAAGTTTATCCTTATTCTCTTCGTTCTCTTGTAACTGTTTATAAGTTCGCAATTTATTCCATTTATTTCTGAGACCAACATAAAACAACATCACTGCTGATAATCCTATGCCAGTGATAATAAACATAATTTTCTGAAAATATACTGTGGAAGTGATTGGATGTATTCTACGAAATTTAATTATTTACACGAAATCTATAAAAGTCTGCCGGTCCAACGTTGTTTAGATTTGCGTCATCTTTTAACACAGCCCATGTCGTCATATAAACTATAATTCCACAAATTACCGAAGCTGTGTATCTAGGAAGACATATTTTTAAGTAGCGAAATTATATAATGAATTATATATACTCAGTATTTACCTTAGAGTGGTAAGTGTATTACTTTGGTTATTGTCCCTAGCTAAAGAAGGAATCATTGATAGATGGGATATTTGTACTAGAGCCCATCCAATTTGAAATAAAATAATTAAACTGGTATACACCAAGACACTCAAATAATTATTGCCATTATTGTTAACAGCAAAAATTAAAGAAAATCCGATCGTAACAAACAACGTACCTGAAAAGATATTTTCTTTAATACTAATTAAATCTTTTATTATTGTTAATTATACTTTAAATTATTAGAAGGAAAAGTGGAGTTAGAATTAAATGTTATCGTTATGTGCGTTTTAATTGGAAAAAGATACTGATCTCAAAATAGTTTGTTTACTGTGAATGATCAGAGCCAAAATAGGGTTGCAAATAATTTTATTAATGTAAAATCAACATCAATCATTTTATATCAAATTATTTACAACCGCATTTTGTTTCCAATATTTTACACATTGTAATAAGAGAAAGAAATGGAATCCATAGTTTCTTTAGCTTTGGGTTCATCTAATAAGTGAAGTTTTTCGAATCGTTTTCTAAGAATTTTGGATTGTAGGCATTTATTAGCACACCACAATATCTTGTAGTTTTCAGTTTTACACAGCTGGCGTATATCAATTCGATATTGTTTTGGGGGCTGTTTTGTCGTGATTCATAGAATTTCATAGTTCCTTGCTAAAGGTACGATAAGTGGTGATTTGGCAAGTGCTGATATCAATTTGGAACTTCAAAATTCAATGGACCATGACACTGAACCCGGAAAACAATATCGATCCAATATTTTAGATTATCCATTTTAAAGGAGTTTAGAATTTTTTGGGCTCTCCCCTTTTTGTGCTTCTAATACCTTCAATGACCAATGTGTACAATTTTCATTCATCATTTTATATTTATATAATGTTTGATCGGTGATACTAGCAAAATTTTTAACATCAAAATAGAAAAATTAATTGTTTCATTTAAAAGGATGCCGTTTTATTAATAACTAACTGGGCACCCAAATAAAGAAAATTTAAAAGCGAGCTTCCAATTTCCGGACTTTTCCACGGAAACACCTGCAACTGTTTGCAAGTGCATATAATATACATAGAAATATATGCATCTATGTACATTTACAAACAAACTATTTGCAAAAGAGTACCTTTACAGTAAATCTGTCGTATTTCTTATAAATGTAACGACAGATGAGTTCTGGTGTTGAGCAGCGGATATCAGAACTAGAAGTCAGCTGAAAAGAAAAAAAAAAATAAAAGTGCACCTGTTGCATGCCACGCCCGACGAGTGCCGACTCTGTCGATTGTCCATCCTGCTACAGGAGTTGCAATTGCATCAGTAACTTGTCCTGAAATTTGTAAAAAAATCCTAGTCACTGTATGCCTACTTCTTATCTTACCGTCATCGTGCTCGATCGTCAAGTTAAAAAAAATTACTAGAACCAGCGTGGGTTTTATACACTTCAATTAAATTATACATTCAGTATACAGGATGCTCAAGTATAACAGAGGATATTAAATAGTTTTTATTTGTACCGAACTCCTTTTTGCCTTTTAAACTACCAAACAAACATGACGGTGTCTAATAATTTGTTACTTTAATTATATTATTTAATCTCAAGAAGGTGCTGTTGATAAGAAAGTTATACAATCCTAAGTAGATTCTCTCGAAGAGAGCAACTTTTATCCATTTTGTTTTTGAAAGTGCTTTTAAAATAAAAGGGAAGGAAGTTCGGTGATTTGCAACTGTCGGAAAACTTGATGCAAAAATACAAATACTGGTTCAGCAAATGGTATTCACTGAAACTAATTAGTAGTAAGAATAATTAACTTCCTCTTGTATACTTATTTATGCAGTTTATATTGCGTATTTTACTTATACTTGTTGTGGATGATATTTTAAATATCATTTAGATAAATATATACAAGATTATTGCCTGTTAAATAAATAAAGATTGATTTTTAATTTATCCAAACAACGAGGTATTATAACATTATTTAGCGTTACAAACATTTTATTCTTGGGTTGATATTGAAGTGAAGGGTGGTTTGAAACAAAGCAGTGTATGTTTCATGAATCAGTTACTGCTTTAAACTGCTGACAAGTAAAATTTATGGTTCTAACAAGTTGCCTTTGATATGTATATTCCTTTAGACAAAGAATACTTTGTAAAGAAAGCGAATAGACAGTTTCTGTTTCTTTTTCTTTGGCGTTAAAGGAAAGACGTGTCAGTTTTTTTTTTATTTATTCTAAATTCGATTCGTTTTTGTTTCACTCTTGAGTATTTGTGTTAGAGAATATGTACAAAATCTTCATAAATATGTAGTTAATCTTTAGAAGTTGTTATATTTTTTTGTCAGTTCTGTAAGCTTGACGTAAACATTACCTTTCACCAATTAAACATTTATTTTTATGTACTTGTGTATTTCTTCTTTTCGCCATTCGTTTTTAATAATAGATATAATTCATTTGTTGTCGGAAAATCATAGGATGCTAACGGTTTATCAGTACAGCGGTATAATAAAGAGTTTAAAATTTAGTTATATTATTCACTAGAATTATACATTATATCTCGACTCGTTAATATGTATAATTTGGTACTTAAAACCTGTTTGAATCTTGTTTTGACGGAAGTTCTTAACATTATAGCTTATACTACCAATATGTGTAGGCAAAGATACAAATTTTGCCTAAAAAGAAGTACCATGAATCACTCGAATCAATGCCTACCTAATGCGTTTCAACGGCTTTTATACAAAACCTACACAATATTTTATAGTCAAGTCAAGTCAAAGAATTAGACACGAATTTTATATTAACTTTTTTTTAAAAAATATGTTTTCATAGAAATAATAGTCAAATAGGCATTTCCTGTTTGCAACTTTGATAAATCTCTCTACCTGTCATTATCAGAAGTCCGGCAGTGGTTGATGGTATTTCCATGACAATTTGCAAATAGAAAAGTGTATAGGAAAACCAAACTGAGGCACACAAGTCATTATATACGTGACCCAATCCAAAATAAATATTTTCCAGTCTTGAACGTTTCCCAAAATTATTTGATTCCGCACCTAAGTCCGAAGATACCTGAAACAACAAGTAATTTGTCATCGGCACGAAAAAGAATAAAAAAAAGAACTAAAACAACATTTTTTTTAACAAATAGGAACAAATAAACAAAATTGTTGATACGCGAACTGATTTGAACGATTTTTAATATAAAATCAAACCAGGTCAGGTCAACATTCAATTAATTGTGCAATTTAAATTTAAAAAACGTTATAATTCTCTTTCCTTTAACAAATAACTGAAATACCCAAGAAAATTGTTGTTAAAAGTTATTGAAGCAATACCGACAAATTCCAATCGGTTAATTAAACTCTTGAGTAGTTTATAATATAAATATTAATANCATTTAAATATTAATATTTTTTTTAATTATTCATAAAGTAAAACATAATTGGGCTTCAATTCATTGTATTTAAAAAAGTTTAAAAGTTGTATTATCCTTTCAGTTTCATAGTATTTGAGAAATTTATTGTTTCATCAAGAACATCTTACTTCTTGAAGGGGTTTAGTATGTGCACATGTACATCAAATTTACATGTGACAATTGGAGGTTGGACACGCTTTACGAGATATGTCCACATTGATTTTGCGATTTAAAAAAAAGGATTATTACACGCATCGTCCATCCAACAAGCGACCTAAGCGGTCGACGACATGTTATATAGTACATATAAGTACGGTTATTTACTATGCCAGTTGCAAATGCATACATACGTATATGTATATATCTAATGGTGTCATTTGTCGAATGTTGCCATCAACATATCCCATCTCGTTTATCGGCCAAGAGAATTCTTAAAAATAACGATACCACTGTGGGTGTAAGAGCTTAATAAGGATTTTTTAGCTCTTTTAGCAAGACTAAAAACGAAAGATTTCTAATGTAAATTAAACTAATTGTTTCCCTTTTCTGTCCAAACATAACACTACAACAAACAACATCGGCGATTTGTTCGTAAGTGCTGTAGAACACTTAATTTTTTATTTAATTTAAAGCCTCCTGCATTACTTTTAGTTCATACTGTAAGAAGCGTGTGAAAATCTGTTAAGTTCTCGTAATAAGTAGGACCGGTGCTTTTTTTTTTCTTGCTATTCAAATATTGCTTGGGGTCATCTCAACTGTGACTAACTGTTACTCAATTATTACTCTTTACACTAGACAACCGATGAGTAAACCGGCAATGAATCATTTTACAAATCACGCTAATTGATTTTTCTCACCTATTCACGATTTTCAGATCAGTTAAGAGAATAGCTCATATGTACAATACCGTAAAAACATTGTTTTTAAACATTTGTACTGTCGCAGACTCCGCAACATCGGCCAAAAATACGGTCAGTTTTTTAATAATTAATAACATCCAGGAATAAATCAACTTTTAATCGAAAAACAAGTGTCAATGGTTGAATAATACATGTTTAGACACATTAAGTTCGCATCAAACCAAAGACATCATGTCTTTAATTGCTTAAATTCATTAACCAATGGAATAAAGTCAAAATTGACCAAAAATTGTATAGGTAATTAGATATAAACCGTAGATTATATGTAACTGCATCATCATAATAGGTGAATCTATAAATTTCAACAGATTGATTGATACTTTCACCTAGCGTTCATGTTATTTTTATTTATTTATGCATTTATTGTTGAATTCACTTAAGTATATCATGAAAGTCCTTGGAGTGTTGCCACTCTCTAACTATTGTACTATACACAGATACGACCATGACTACTTGTAATTTATAATAATAATAATATAATTGTAGTTCTCGTCAATAACAAATATTTTGGAATGTACAATTCAAGATTGCCTAAAGTTTAAATTGTTGTCCTCAAGCAAGTGTGAACAACAATTAAAAATTTATGTGACTAGATTACAGAACTATCCGATGGATTAGCAGTTATAGAAGCAAATAATATACAAATGTATGTTTTTTACATTTCTCATGTTAACTCACAACTATGTCAACTGTAGTGGATAAAAAAAATTCAACGACCAAGGGCTTGAAAAGCTACACTTGCGTGAGAAGGTCGTATACCCACCAGGAAAGTTATTGTTACAAGGATTTCTAAAGCACCCAGGAATCATAAATACCCCCATAGTACCTAACGAACAGGTTTTACCGAAATTGCTGAAACGTGATGCACAATAAGTTTTTCTATAATATGAGATCTAAAGTAGTATTTATTGTACCTACCAACCTACCAGCGTCAATTCATCCATTTCTTGAATTTTCAGAACGTGAGTTATCGTCCTGATTAGGGTTTAAAATTCCTTCCGTTTTCAGGAAATTACTCTCAAAGAACAACTTTTCTTTTCCCCTTTCTGTTACGACTGCATTAACTGTTAACATTATTTTTAATTAAATTACAAAAGCACAAAACTACTGAACCAGGATGGGAAATAAAAGCAAAATATGAAAAAGATAATGAAAAGATTCTTCGCTTTTTTGTGTTGTTTTATTTCTCTTGATCCGATAAAATTATGATAGTGATCGTGGCATTCACGACGATTAGTAGCCATTGTATTGGATATTATGGATACATATGTACAAATTTTATGGTGAGTCCTAATTTGGGCGGATGTTTCGCGAGCTTTGCAGTTTACTTCTTCAAAGCAAACTTAAACTGTTGTCGACCGAAAGCAGAAAGATCATCAGTGGCTAGTAATATAATAAATTTGTTAGATTTGAACATAAAAGAGTACGTTTTTTCGTAATTAATTACTACAAAAATTGGACAAATATCTTTTTAAAAAACGACAAATTTATTAATTCTACCAAACGTTGTTTTCGTTTTCGAGTTCTAACTCCTTTTATAGCACAATTGCGTAAGGTTTCGCCCATTGCACATTGTACATAATTAAAAATTAAGATGGTTAATTAAATTACAATTTAGCAAACGATTATTTCCGTGTGGGCTTCCCGTAACCGAATACAATAACAGCTTGTAGATTTGGAAAATGCCTAGTTTCATGTAGACGATGAATTCACTAGAGGGTACAACTCTCGTGTATGTGTAAGGTTGTGTCTCATTGTTTATCGCAAAGGGGTGGTGGTGCATGAGTAATTTTTTAGCAATACATAATTAAAAACAATGACTCACCGCCATTTGGAAAAGCAGGAGTTCTTTACAACGTCTGATACGAATGCCACTTATACATATACTAAAATACATAGAGGGTTTCGCAAATGAAATTCTATATCGTCGATCTAATTAGTACGACGAGGATAGTGTGTTCACCTCCAAGAACTTGCCGCCGCGTTGTCAATGTTTCTATGCAAATTCTTACAATGAACTTAACATGCAACATGCAACCATCAGTGCCGACTAAAATAAGGTAAATGGTAAATTTTATTAGAAACGTAACGTGATTCTATAGGGTTGTTCGGAAAGTCATTTCGTTTTTTTTTGTGGAAATGAAAGACAGTTTTCGTATAATAAACAAATACTTTATCAAATTATATATTGACCGTTCTGGTCCAACACCTTTTACCATCTTTCTGGTAGTAGCATAATTCCACGCTCATAAAATTTTTGGTCTTTGCTGGCAAAAAACTGATCGAGGAGGTTTTTGACCTCCTCATTTGAGGTGAAGGTTTTACCGTCTAAAAAATTTTGGACTGACCGGAACAAATAATAATCCGATGGTGCCAGGTCTGGAGAATATGGTGGGTGTAGCATTGTATCCCATTCAAGCTGTAAAAGCTTTTGGCGAGTGACCAAACTTGTGTGAGGTCTCGCGTTGTCTTGGTGAAACACTACACCTTTCCTGTTGATTAGTTCTGACCTTTTCTGTTGAAGTGCATCATTCAGTTTGTCCAGCTGATGACAGTAGACTTCCGAATTAATCGTTGTGTTATCCGGTAAAAGCTCAAAAAAAACTATTCCTTTAAAATCCCACCAAACAGACAGCATCACCTTTTTTTGGTGAATATCGGCTTTGGAAATGGTTTGAGCCGGTTCATCTTTTTTGCTCCATGACCTCTTGCGTTTGACGTTGTTGTATACAACCCATTTTTCGTCCCCAGTGACGATGCGCTTCAAAAACGGATCATTTTCGTGACGTTTGAGAAGCGAATCGCAGACGTCAATGCGGCGACACAGATTTCTCTCTGTGAGAACATGGGGAACCCATACATCGAGCTTCGAGGATAATCCCAGGCCTTTCAAGTGGTCATAAACTGTTGAATTTGATAAATTTAACCTCAATACGATCTCACGTGTTGTTATTCGCCGGTTCACATCAACTAATGCCTTTATCGCGTCTTTATCAGCTTCAACCGGCCTTCCCGAACGTGGTGCATCTTCGACATCAAAATTTCCGGATCGAAATTTAGCGAATCAGTTCTGGCACTGGCGTACTGTCAACACACCTTCTCCATACACATCAGTTAATTTCTTTCTGGCTTGAACAGCATTTTTACCCTTTCTGTAGTAAAACAGTAAGATATGTCGAAAATGCTGCTTATCGCTCTCCATATTTAAAAGGGCACCAACCAAAAACTACTGCGTAGAATTAATTGGAATTTTTCACACACAAGCCTTGCTATATGAGCTCTCAAAGCATATAAAAATTATACGGCTTAAATGTGAAGTTGGGTGCAAAAGAATACAATTAAATCCTCTGTCGGGAAAAAACGAAATGACTTTCCGAACAACCCTATATTATCAGACAGTTTTCGGGGGCATTTTTTTTTCGGGAGCCTTTTTCCGGGACTTACTCTAGCTCTTCAACTTGTTTCAAGTATGATATAAAATCTGTTCAGACCAATAAAAAGAGCAGTTTTCACCGTACAGAACGCTTTTCTTAAAGTTTCAAAATAAAATTTCTAAATTAGTTATATATGCAGGCAAAGTTTACCTATACTGTTTTCCTCTTCTTAGCTTACTTACGAGTTGCTACTGTTCTATCAGACTGCTAAACGTTAACATATATTGTACTAGGGCTTTTTGTTTTGCTAATTTTTGAAATAAATCAATTTCATTACTGCCAGAAGGCTGATATTTATGTGAAGCATTAAATGGCTCAATAATAATTTAAAAGAGTCTTTTGATATTATACGCTGTTGGCCTGAGACAGACTTTTTACCTTACAAAACTCGTTTTTCTAAATGCCATTCGCTGCAAACCACAGACATATATGTACAAGTGAAGTTAATTTCATTTTTTATTGAAATCACAATGTTGTCCTTAGTCCTTACGTAATTATTATAAAACACTACCGATTAGTGCCTAATTCCGAATGTATCTATATATAACTTCGAATTATTTTACTTGTTTCAGAGAAAATATTAATAATAATAGTAAATAACTGTCTGCCTTTACATCTCGAGAGAAAGGTAAATTTATTTTACATTTCTTTATCTTCTTTCCTATATCAACGTAACAAAACCCAACTACCTGTAACAGTTTAGAATATCAGAAAGTTAGGAAGCACTTCATTAAAGCAAGAAAACGTGGTACCACTATCTGGCATAAATTTTCATGCATCACAATATTTTTTAAAAACAAATACATTACTGAAATAAGATAAAGAAACCACAAGCACAGTGGTTGAAGTTGTATTGGCTGGTAGAAAAGTCAAAAGAAAACCACCTGAAGTTTGTTGTAGCATGTTGTAACTGTATGAAAATTTTCATTAGCCAATATGTCAGACATTTGACAGAAGATAATGTTTTATGTTTGCCAATAAATCGACAATAAATGCAGACAGCTTCATTTCCTGCTATTAAGATATATATAGTACTTTTTTTATTGTATAGTGCAATTTTATTTTCTGATTAAACGCTGGATTACCAATAATAGTTGACCGCTGAAATTGATAGTCAATCGTATTGTTAACGATGTATTTTGTAATTAGTTATTACCATTAAAAGCCACTAAAACTTTAACTTATTATGTTCTCAATGTCTTAAATAAGTTACGACCGTTGAAAGTTTGTAACGCACAAGCCTTTTTTATTAAAGGATTTGTAAGTCCGTTCAGTAAATAATCAAAGCATAGTAAAATACCTTTCATCTCCCAACAATCCCCGGAACGCACATTTACCTATCTATTATTAAACTATTTGACATACTATCACTTTTTAAAGTGTAGTAAATATCTTTCATCTCATAATAATTTCATGAGCGCTTATTTATGTTTCAATTATTTTACATATTTTAGAGAAATCAACGCCGATGAGTACCTATTCGACGCCGCACTTAAAAATTGTTAACACCATGAGATTCTACGTACTTTTTTACATAATTATCACTTCTCAGAGTTTAGTAAATATCGTCCATCTGACAATAATTTCACGAGCGCCTTTTTATGTTTCAATTATTTTACATATTTTAGCGAAAATAACGCCGATGAGTACCTATTTGACACCGCACTCGAAAATTGTTAAAACCACAAGATTCTACGTATTTTTTTTACATAATGGGCCCTTTTCAAAGCTTATTTAATACCTTCCATTTCCTAAATATTTCACGAGCGCTTTTTTAGGTTTTAATTACTTCATATATTTTAGTAAAAATATAGTAACGAATGAAAATTTTAATTGAAACGAACAATAAAATATTGTCAAGTTCGCAGGATGTAGGAAAATAGTTTTGAAATATCCTCTATACTCATACAGCTAGCATCTATTTCCTGCTTTTTCATTAAATTATGACCTGCTTACAGTAAAATCAGCGAGCGTAAAAAAAATATTTTACGCAATATGCAATATGATGATTCTGCTCTACGTTCATGCAGTGTTCGTTTTTGGGTACAATAATTCATGTATATTATTGCTAAATATATTCAGTAAAAGTTTATCAAAAAAGTCACAGCAGTGAACCTCCGCTATCAATTTTGTTTGCATATTTTGTAGTTTGACAAGCAATTTAAAAAGAGGCTGCCTCTTGTAAATAGTTGCTATTTTTTTGTTAGCAACAACAGTATTGTAATCGGTAGGTAACGGAAATTGTTGAAAAATTTGAAGTACGATATCCTCAAAATATCTTTGTCCAACAAGTTGCCTGTTTGTAATTTCATGCCTTGCTGGCCTCTACTTTTTTAATGCATTAACTATTATAACGGACAACCGATCTAAACTATTATTGAAGCAAGAATACATACAGTGGCGTACATCAATCACATTCACCCTTCTTACAACAATTGTACATCTAAATCATTCCTTTCCTGATACTTATTAGAATTGAGGCCACGGACATTGAATCATTTAGTAATTGCGATAAAAAAACCGGTTAGTACAATCATGTAAACTATACCATCAGTTGTGTAGTGTTAAATATGAAGCGTTTTGTCGTTACGCCAGTGCAATTATTGTAACTATAGTAAAAAAAATACGCCGAGTAGTATAATTGCAAGTAGTAGTATTACTCAGCATCTTGAGTCAGCGTAACAATTTGTTTTTAACTATTTTAAACAACCATTTACTTGTACTAATAATCTATTTAACATCGGGCGCCAAAAACATCATTATAAAATACTTAATAGTACCTTGAAGGTAAGCGGTACGGAATTATAAACGATTTTATAAATCATTATTGAACGACTTACAAGTCACTCGTTTTTCTTCTAAAGCAAAAGGTTAAGCGCTATTTTTCAAACTGTACAAATTATTAATTTTTTTCTTCGTGATATTATGTAAATACAACACAAAACTTAAGTACTTACATAATTATGTAGATATGTGTGCAGATAATCTTATTGTAAGGTGTGTCCCTTGGAAGGTTTAAAATACGTGAAATGGATTATCGGAAAATAGTTAGATATAAAAAGAAAAGTTAGTCCGATGCAGTTTGTTCTTCGAGGCAGAAGAATAAGATAATATACAATTGTAAATTCAAATTGGGAAAATGTGAAAAGTATAAAGAGCGGGTCATTTTGAGAAAGTTGTCGTTGTTTTGTTCATCACGAAACATGTCTATAATAACTGTTTATTAAAAATTATCTAACGAAGTCAGGAACCGTAGTCATTACTGGACTTTCTTTGCTGTCCCTGTATTTGATGTGATAGATAATTTTAACAGTTTTCAATTATTTTCCGGTTGACTGAATATGCTAGCCACTTTACAATAGAAGGTACGTATTTCTAGGCAATGTAAAAACTTCTGCAAACGTGCACTTTCTGCCTACGGCCTAAGTCTAATTGGAAATGTTCATTGATATAATCTCCGATAACCTCTTGTGTACGCCGATCGCTTTTTTTCCGCTACACATTTTACTAGCTACTATTCCATTACACTCTTTGTCTAATCTACAGCATATGTAATGCTATTAATCTACATATACTTTCTTAAGCAACAAAAAATTCATATCGAAAGCTTGACTATCGGATAGTTGACCGAAGAAGGGCACACATAAATGTCTAATCCTTAGAAGGCACATGGATACTTTAGTCTACTATACCGAAAGAAATAATCAAATAAAAAAGCTATAACTATGTTGTAGTTCGTCTTTTGTACCTATAAATATTTAAAAGTTAAGTATGTGAAACAAAAATCTGTAAACAGTCGCTCCCACAAAAGTAACACAACACTAAGGTGTATTATGTAACATTTGCATATTATGTTACGCAAAACTATGAAAAATAAGTATTTGTTATAGTTGTTTCAAGGTTATCTACAAACTGTACCTTCGTGTTTATATTTATTATCACCATTGTTCAAAAAATGCATATGTTTACCTGCACATTGCGTTGTCACACAATATTTACACACTATGATAGTTCCATTAGATATATGACTTATCAAATCTATTCTATCGACGTTTACTTCCTCTTAGATTTTTCTTTTGATAAGCTATACAAGGGCGGTAGAGAAAAATGCCTTAACATCTTGCACTTATTCTTCTATTTGATGTTTCTGTAATGATCATAACCAATAGTCAATATCTCCTAAGTTTTATCTATAAGAACTATAACATGAAACCCACTTAGGCATGAAGGAGTAGTTATAGGCATGAAGGACTAATTAAAGACATATGTATCAGAAGCAGAAACAGGAGTTAAGAGAAGTAGAGGCAGACCTAGATTAGATTATTGATTACAGATTAGGGAAATGCGAAAATTAGCTCAATATAATGTAGGTGCATGTTCAACCAATCTTAGAATTGATGACCTTATGATGATGATGAAGTTTTATGTTCAAAACAGGAACTCCTTCTAAATATTAAGGATGTATAAGCGCCCGAAGGAGTTAGATATAATTTGACGTAATATTTTTAGAAGAAGTTTCTTCAGACAATTCAATAACATTTATTAGGAAATTTTTCGTGTACTCTTTTCGGCGAAACTATGGACTTGTTAATTATATAATTTTCGTTTAAGTCGTAGCTTGTGAAAGGACTATCTTGTTAGGTACCTGCTGGAAGTATAATTTGTGATTAACCTGTTAGTTATTATGATAGGCAGTGTGCTAGAAAGATAAGTAAAAATATGAAATTTCCATGTTACTGTAACTAGTAAATATGTTACGCACATAATATACCTAATAGTATAATGTGTATATGTACATATTATATATGTTGCCTCTCCTTCGACTTGTTCCCACTTGAAGCCCACGAATAAAATTTTAAATTAACATTTGCTGCTGTACACCTGTTGGATTGCCTCTGGCACTATTGCATAATTTCTTAAGTTAAAAACATAGCGCTAAATCGTAAAAGGAAGATACAGAGGCACCAGTTGAGTTTTTATTTCAACTTATGTAATTATTACCAAGACATTTTCCATTTGTTATACGTTTTCTACCTACTACTACTACTACTACACACATTTTAATTTACCGATACCATTAATCTGAATTCCCACATTTACCGTTTCTTTATTTCATTTACCAAAATCATTGCAATCAATTATGTGCTCTGGTAAAACTAGATGTATATAATACATGGGAGAAAATAGTTCAATTTAATATAAAAGTAAATCATAAATCCGTAAGTCATCCTTCTAAATGTTATGGATAACTTTGAAGGAGCTTTTTCAACGCAATTCGTACAA